CACTGTCAAAGCTTGTGATTCGTGGATGTGAGCAGTTGGTGATTTCAATTTCTGACTATAAACAACTTCAGAAATAAAGCAACTTCAGAAATAAAAGTTAAGCTTGAGTTATTGGAGGCCTTGCAGCTTTCAAGTATTGCAGAGTTCGGACTCCAAATAAAGGATTTCATGGGAGGATTACCAAAGCTTAAGGATCTGGTTATTCGCGGTTGTGATGAGCTCACATCTTTATGGCAGAATGAAGATAAATTGCTCCATGACCTGATTTCTCTTCATTGTTTGGTTATTGGAGACAACCCTCACCTCCATCTTGTTCAAAATCTTGTATCACTCCAAGAGCTTCACATATATGACTGCCCAAGTCTGATTTCTTTTCAAGAGTTTCTTTTGCCACCTTTTGTCAAGGAAATAAAAATTGAGCGGTGCAGTTCTCTTGTGTATTTTGCAAGATACCGAATACCTCCAAATCTAAGAAGAATGGATATTATGTTATGCGAAAATTTGAAATCACTGCTGGAGGAAGAGGAGGTAAAGGGTTCTTCGTCATCCTCTTCTCCTTACCTGGTGAAAGAAGAGGAATCTTGTCTTGAGTACTTGAGTATAAAGGATTGTCCATTGCTGACGTCCTTATCATTCGAAGACCATCTTCCCAGGATGCTTAAACACCTTCGCATAAGCGATTGTGAACAGCTAGAGACAATAACCAATAGGTTCAAGCATAACATTTGCCTTGAAGAAATTAAGATCTCGCGTTGTACAAATCTCAAGTGTTTACCGGAAGGCCTAAGCTACCTCACCAATCTTCAAGAGTTAGGTATTTATGACTGTGCAAGTCTTGTTTCCTTCCCCGAAGGAGGGTTGCCACAAAGCGCTGCCTACCTAAGGGAGATCGACATCAGCTACTGCAACAAATTGGAGGCACTACCCAAAGGCATACATGACCTCAACTCTCTTCAGATATTGAGCATTTCTTGTTGCGAAGGTTTCACGCAGTTTCTAGAAGATGGTTTTCCCCCTAACTTAATACAGCTTACAATTTATAATCTCAAGAGCTGTAAGGCACTCTTGGACTTGGGGTTGCACGGGCTCACCTCTCTTAGAGAACTGGAAATTCGTGGCAAAGACCCAGGCGTGTTGTTCTTCCCTCCTGAGAAAGAGATGGTGCTTCCTAAATCTCTCATTCGACTTACAATTCAGGACTTCCCGAATCTTGTTAAACTCAGCAACGGCTTTCAACTCCTCAACTGTCTTCAATCTTTTCACATCGAGGGGTGTACTAAGCTAGCATCAATGGCAGAGGAGAGTCTTCCTCTATCACTTACACAACTTACTATCTATCACTGTCCGCCGCTAGAAGAGAGATGCAAACCAAATAAAGGAATATTGGCCCTCCTTAGCGCACATCCCTTACATTCGGATTCAAGACCACGTTTATAGAGCAAATCCAGATCATAGCCCACGCCTCCCGTTCTCGTGCTCTCCTTCCAGGTACTTCCAACATGAGACAACAATCAAAACCATTATTATTTTGCTTTCATGAAGGAAGTTGAGGTTCCACCCCAAAACCAATTGGCAATGGGAGGAGGAGCTCAACTCCTTATAAGCTCTTGCTAGGTTTCTCAACTTTCCAATGTGGGACTTTTTACTTTCACATTCTCACATAATTTATTATATTTCACGAGCAGATCAGAGGACCAAGCTGCTATCACGAACACATAAATTTCTTTCCTTAAAGCGATCTTATCGGAGATCAATTACGGTAAGCAAGATCATCATCCTATTTTTATATTCCTACTAGATTAGTGACCAAACCTTTTGGTAATCTGAACACATAAAAAAAAAAAAAAAACAGTGTTTTATTGTCACTGATTTATCCTTTTCATAATCCATGCTTGTTGTTGCCATGCTTACCTGTGCTGTGACATGGTTCAGATAACCCTATCATATTTATAAATAAATAAAAAATAAATAAAAACTAAATTCAATTCTGAGTCAAATGTCAGTTGGGATCAAAATTTATTTTATTGATGGTAATTGCAAACTGATTGCTAAATTCATTTCTAAGCTAGTTAATTATTTCTTTTTCTTTTTATTTTTTTATTTTTTTATTTTTTTATTTTTTTATTTTTTTATTATTTTTTATAATCAAACTACACGCTAGTTATTCAAGTACAGGCAATGTCGTCCTTTATAATAGTGACTTTTCTACGGTTGTGTTAGAGCACAGCTGTAGCTCTTATATCAGATCAACAAATTCACATGTAATTGAACGTATCACTGATTTATTTTGTAGGGCTGCTTGAACGATGGACCTTTTTACTCACCAGCCTTTGTCCAGAGATTTTGTCACATGCTTTTGATCAAGCTTCCTCACCAAGTAACCCTTAGTTTGCATTTGGGAGCTTGTTGACAAGGCTAAAATGGAAAGAGATGAATTGAGGAGGTGGGGAGTGTTGTGGTGGCCTTGTGGTAGTCTTCCTTAAAATTTATGGATTAGTTGGTGGCATGGCATCTCTCAGTGCATTTGTTCGATATAGTTATCCTCTTTGGCCTGCAGGGGCATTTAAAGTTATATGCAAGTCAATTTGTTGTTCTGTTGTGTTTTGAATTTGAATTGTAGCATGAACTGGGATGCATAGGATTGAAGGGATTTGGATTCCACAATTCTTGACTCTTTGTTTCTGATTTATGACATCATTTTCTCTGATTGAAAAGACAATGATGGAAGAAATAGTTTGGGCATCGGTGCAGGGCTTTGACTAGCAATACTCTAATGCTAACCATTTTCCCACTCATTCTCACTACTTGGGCTAATCCCAAGGGCTTACGCCCAGCCCCTTATTGCTTCTATTTAGGAGTATTTGCTTAGCATGACCCATCAAAAAATGAAATGAAGAAGAAAAGTGGAGTTGCTTCTATTAAATCAATTGATTTTGTTTTTTCTTTTCGATCCGCTTAAGTCAATCTTTATTGGGAGTTTCACTAAAACACCCAAAATGGGGGCTAAAATTATAAAAAAACAACACCCAAAACACTTTATAAACAGACCCAAAACCCATCATTATACACACTCAAAATCCATTGATAAACACACCCAAAAAATATACAATTGTTGATTTTGGGTGTGTTTTTATGTTTAAGTAGTGTTTGAGTTTTTTTATAAATACATGTCTAGGATTGGGTTTATTTATAAATTTATAATCTTTTTATTATCATGCAATGGAAGGTTGACTATAAAATTTAGGATCCAGTGCACCGTCAGAAATGAGGCGCTAATATAATAGTTTATATTAGCCATTGCAGACATATAATATCACCACTACCATCAATTATCACAAAATAGGAAGCTGCTAAGCAAGTGGTTACTATTATATATGTATGTACATAGACTTAAACCATAATCATTAAATTGTTTCGGATTTGAGTATTTTTTGCATGAGTGATCTGTAAGGTAATACCCACCTGACATTTTGGTGGCCCATGGCCAAAAATTAAATGAGGCCCTTAGTGTATATGTTTTATTTTTAATTTGCTCATTCATTTTTCTTTTTATGGCAAAGCCCCATGAAATGACTAAGTCTGCTTAAATAGAATAATTTCATTCAACTAACAAAAAAAAAAAAAAAAAGTGTACATGATCCATAAACAACCTGCTTAAATAGAATAATTTCATTCAACTAACAACAACAAAAACCAAAAGTACATGATCCATAAACAACCTGCTTGATATGTTAATATTTATATAACTTTTTGATAAATATTTCCCTTAGATTTTGCATAATTCGATTCGTTAATTGCACTAAATTTAATTGTTTTGAATTATAGGTGCTCAATTATGGGAATACATGAAAAATGAAGTTGAAGTGCAATTTTGAGTATCTAGAGCAATTGTGGTGGAAAAGTCTCAATGGACTTAATCAAGTTTACTGAAGAAAATAGTGGGCTGAATTGAAGATGCACATGAGATGATACATGGGCTTGCGTTGGAGCGGAAAAGTCCAAGTGATATGATTTTATTTTAAATTCCTTTTTCAACAAGGACTATGAGTCCAAATCAAAGAAGGGGGTGTTGTTTATTATTCCTTGAAGAAGCCGTAAAAAGGGGTGATTGAAGTTGTTAATTGATATTGAAGAAAAGGTTGAAAGGTCAACGTGAAGTGGAGTCCAAGGTTTTGGAAAAGAAAACGTGAAAGGGGGGGAGGTTATTAATTCAATACAAATTTATAAATAAACCCAATCCTAGACATGTATTTATAAAAAAACCCAAGCACTATTTAAACATAAAAACATACCCAAAATCAACCCCAAAGTCAACTTTTTCGGTGTGTTTATAAATGAGTTTTGAGTGTGTGTAATGATGGGTTTTGGGTGTGTTTATATGTTTAAATAGTGCTTGGGTTTTTTTTTATAATTTCAACCCCCATTTTGGGTGTTTTAGTGAAACTCCCTTAATTCAATTGGCAGGAGTCGTCAAAGTGGGCTGTGGCTTTGGGCTTTGTTAAGGAGTTGTTAACTCATATACAGAAAAGAGTGCTGATATTTCCACCCACCTGTCATATTTTCCTACCCACCTTATCTTTAAACTTTTAAAAACAAATTTAACCCTATTGTAAAATGACTTAAAAGGACTTAAGGAAAAAGAAAGAGGAAAAAAATAAAACGCAGACTTCTCAGTTCTCAAGTAACCATATCGTTTGACAAAGAGAAAAAAAACACAAGAATACGACTCCTTGCTCATGAGAAGGTGAAGAAGGCTTTTCAGTGCTCAGAACTCAATTCTCAAATAATTTTCTTCTCTTTTCTATTCATTCAATCAAATTGCTTATGAAGAAGAAAACAACAGAATGGATGTTGAAGAGCACGATTTTGGCGAAAAGGTAAGTTAATCCTATTTGAACAGAATTTCTAAGATCTTTAGGATTACTTAAACATTGGGAGATGAGTATTTCTTGGACTCTGATTTTTGTTATTAAACAAATTAAAAATCTAAAAACTTAGGGATGAATAAACAATTTGACGATTTGGTGAAGAAGGCTGTGGGGGTTAATGGGACGTTGGTGGGGGATATTTTGCATGAAGATGTGATGAGCAAGTTTTGGTTTCAAGGGCTGGTCAGCAACCAATTTGCCCACCTTCCAAGCTTTCTGGTATGCTGACCAGAAAGTTTGAAAAACAATCAAACACAATTTTATTACAGTTTTGAATCATATTTCAGGAAAATAGGTTGAACTAATATTTGAGAAATAGGGAGACTTACAGCTATTGAGGAGCGTGAGCCAAAGCAGATTGGAAGGTGGCCAAAGAGGTTGCTGGGTATGTTCAAAAATTAGGGAGCGTGAGCCAACTTTTGGTTCAAGGGCTGGTCATCTTTTGCCTACGGAGCAGCCTTTGTCATTAAATTTCGTGATATTTTACTGCTGTATTACTACGATTTAGGCCCTGTTCTAGGGAGATATATTCTTACTATATTGTTTATTGTTTTCTTTTTACAGGGAGATGAATATTCTGGTTGTAGTAACGTGGACTTTGAACAAATAGTGGATTGTACTAGTGAATTTACCACGAATGAGGTTAGTGTAAACACAAGAATTCAAATGTTGGTGTCTACAGTTAGGTTTGATTGAAATAAGTAATTTGTTTTTCTTACACTCTTGTAAATTTATGTATAATGTGAAATTGGTGATATGCAGATATTTAACAGTAGAGAAGAATTAATACGATGGGCTCGTGAAGTTGGAAAGGCGAATGGTTTTGTTATTGTGACCTTAAGATCTGATCAAGGTGGAAAAGGAAATAAGAAGCCTAGAGTTACTTTGGGTTGTGAGAGGTATGGAGAATATAGAAAGCGAATTCCCAAAAAAGATATAAAGGATAAGGATAGATGTAACACCCCGACCCCAAATTTATCCCATGCTTAATTAATTTAAGTGGAATTGAGAAATTACCCGTGGGATAAGGGTATTTTGGTCATTTTCTTACCCGGAAGGAATTTGGGAATTCCGGTTGTACCGTTGCGTAGAGCACGGTGAGATGAGTCCGTAGACACGTAGTGGGCTCGAATCGGAGTTGTAACGAGAGAGATATGATCAAATGAAGCTCAGTGGCATAATCGTAAATATTTGGAAA